ATGAATTTTCTTCTTTTACAAACTTAAAATCAGCAGCCTTTTATTTTGGCAGGTTGCCACTACTGGGTTTAGTGCTGCCGATGAAAGAACGCTGTGAAGAGCGTCAGTGAATGAAATGTCACAGTTTTACATTGTGCTTTGAAAACGGCAGCGGATAACCTAGATTTATGCTTTCAGTTCGAATAGAAAGCTTATACTGTATTACAGTTTGTCGATCTAAAATGGTAATTGTGCATTAACAGCTGTCAACCATGTCAGCACACAAATGAGCGCTCTGAAGTTATTTACACAGCGCATTTTTGTTGCTTTCTCTCGTTTTAAAATCTTACTAAAAAGGTTTGAATGGTATCATTGTTTGACACAAATTTTAAGCAGCACAAATGTTTTCAACGTTAATAATGAGAAATGTTTTTAGAGCATTAAATCAGCATATTAATCTGATTTCTGAAGGATCATGTGACACTGAAGACTGGAGTAATGATGCTGAAAATTCAGCTTTTCATCACAGAAATAAATGTCATTTTTAAATGTATTAAACTAGCAAAGTATTTCAAATTGTAATCATTTTTCACAATATTATTTTTTATTGTATTTTTTAATAAATAAATGCAATGTTTCCAATCTTTTAACAGGTACTATAATCCAGAATGTTTCCTTTACATTATTCATTTGTTGTGTTCTAATTATGTTTGGTAAGCTGAGCCAGTGACATGTATTTTATATTATTTCTTACCTGAAAATAATAAATAACTTGTTGATTCAGTAAATCACTTTACGGAATTGCTATGAGAAATTCAGTTAATTCATTTAGTAAGGTATTCATCAGACAGAATCAAATGGCAACTTTAGTTCATATGTCTTTTGAATAAATTAAAAGCATCAGCTGAAGTCATTTTTTGGTGTCAATGCATAGAGACTCTCAATAGAAAGACATGTTCTCTTGCCGTTATTTTGTGATGCTAATACCACATGTTTATAAGGGGTGATTATGTGATTTTTGTCCACATTCTTTCTCTGTTTAAGTTACCTGATCGATGACAGAGTGCTGACTCAGAAGAATGGCTGCATTAACCATCTGGCCTAAAAACAAAGTCATATAAATGTCACATTTTGGCAATAAAACAAATATTCATTGATACTGTCAGAGCAACACAACAAATTAAATTGACAAAAATATTGAACATGGAAAAACAAAACTAAGAATATGGCTACAAGCAGTGCACTCAGGAGCTCTAGGAAAACAATGCACAGCGGGGTACATGCATTTAACTCTCTGGCAGTCTGGTTGTTAGGGTTAGCACACAGCAATGAAGGGGTTACTATAGAACAACAGTGTAAAACAGACAACTACAGACACACACACAAACAGGGACAGTTTCTACTTGTTAATGGACAACAGTATGTCTTGGCATAATGATGAACAAGTTTGGTGTAAACGGCATTAATTCCCTAGGAGAAGAATAAAAAAAATTTCAGAGCCTGCGATTTAAAAAAAAAAATCCATATTCCATCCAAAAATGAAGAAAAAAAAAGAAAAAAAAAGCGCAATTTAGAAAGTTGTCCAGCTTGATGAGAAGAACAATCAACTAAAACAGCTAAAACATTTTTTATAATTGCACAAATTACAACATATTAGTGAACTGAAGTATGTTGATAAGTACACAC